GTCTTATTAAGTATTGGTATTGTTTGGAACAGGAACATCAAACGTGGTAGGACGTTCATTTTTATAACTGAAATTCTTCCCATCAGTGACAAATTCATTTTATCCCATTTCTTAAAGTCTTGGGTTAACTTAGCCCATAGTTTTTCATAGTTGTTCTTATATAAATCTATATTCTTTGCAGTTAACTCAATGCCTAAGTATTTTTAGATTTCTTAACTGCCCATCCCCGCTTGTGTGGGGCTCAGCGCAGTTTACAACAATTAATTCAATGCATTATAAAATCAATTAAAACCATAAAAATTCCAATATTAAAAACATTCAGAAACATTTAAACATTGAAAACATTTTAAAACAAGATGGCAGTGCTAGCATTCAGTCATTGGGGAGGTGGGGTGCCAGGCAGATGTAAGGAACTGTAGCTGGCCTCATCCAAAGGCCTGGTTTAACATCTCAGACGTACATGCCCTGGCACACTTTAATAAGTTGGGCAGGGCATAGATGTCATTTGGCAGAGAGTTCTACCAGGCTGGGACCTGGGCGGAAAAGACCCTGGTTGAGGCCAGCTGGATGTCTTTGGGGCCAGGGACCACCAGAAGATTCTTACCTGCAGATCTTAATGCCCTGATGGGCCTCCCATAGACTCATGTGACAAACACAAAGTTATTCTAAGGAAGAGTTTGAGGCATACTTGGGACAGATCAGGGCATCCATAGCTAACTTTTTTTTTTGCTGGGACTATCTGCTTGAAGGCTAACAATCTCGCAGCAAGGGGTTAGGAAAATATTCGTTTCTACAGCAATTTTAGTGGACTGTCCTTTAGAATGGCTGCCCCAAAACTGACTGATCCCATAGATTGACTCAAAGTATGGTTCCCCCTTGAATTTAAAGGGAGTTCTGTCCACAGGCCCCCTTTCCAAAATATATAGGATGGGAAAAGTCTTCTCCATCAACTACATGACCAGGCTAGAGTCCTGTCCTGCCTTGCCTTGTCTTCTGATATGGCCTCATTAGTTAGCCTGCACATTGTTTTTTGTTTCTGTATGCGGTTCCCCACTGACCAGTATCCTTTCAAGAAGTCCTGCTCATACATACTTTGACACAGTTACCACTAAACAGAAGTTTTTGAATTGTTGTAACAGGAGTCTCTTCTTCATATATCTTTCTTCTGAACTTGGCTGAGATTTTGGAACAACTATGACTACTGGGTCTTAGCTATCCTACATCTTGGGTTTGCCATCAAATTTGACATACTGCCTCCTTCAAGAATTGTTTGCATAACCTCTTCAAATTCAAGTTTTTCAACAAGAATCTATCTGTCTTGTATTCTACTGTGCCCTTCCTCCAAGAACAGCAGGGTGGCGTATGTAGATCTCGTGGACTCCATTTCCTCCTCAGACCACCTCTGTGAGGGTTCAAAAGCAGTCAATCTCTGAATACCAGTGCCAGGAGACAACATCAGAGGAAGGTCTCGGCCTCTATGCCCTGTTGTTGGACCTCCAGAGGAATTGGTTGGCTACTGTGTGAGACAGGATGCTGGACTAGATGGACCAGTGGTCTGACCCAGCAGGGCTCTTCTTACAAGGGTCACCTAGTGAGCTTCATGACCAAGCAGAGGTCATTTGGGGGGGGGAACGCGGGGGAACGCAGTTCCCCCGGGTGAGGTATGGGGGGCGGGGCACATGACAAAGCCCCGCCCCCTGCTTCCGGCCGCCCCGCTTCCGGCCCTCATTCAGCCAGGAGGAGGCAGGAGAAGAGGGAGGGTAAGTTGCTTCCTCCCTGCCTCTCCCCACCCCTGCCTGCCTGGGGCCAGGGAGGGCCTTCGCAGGGCTTCCTTGCACTCCCGCCGGCCTTGCAGGTCCACCGCCAGGCCCCTCATGGGGCTCGGCAGTGGAGCTGCAAGGCCAGCACCGGCGGCCGGGACCGTTGGGGGTGGGGTGTGTGGCCTTATGACACACTTCCGGTGATGTCAGGGGGTGTGGCATATGCTAATGAGTTATGCTAATGAGTTCCCCTAGCTCTTTTTCTACGAAATGGCCCCTGTGACCAAGTGAGATTTGACTCATGTCCCTGTGGTCTTAGTTCCATGCTTGAGCTAGCATACTGCACTGGCTCTCAAGAAATTGTGAAGTTCTTCAGAAGTGACCAGTGGCGCTGGTTCCAGAACTGCAGAATCAAGGATTCTCCATTCTTACTTCTTTACTGTACTAAAGAAGGACAAGAGGTCTTTGCCCCTTTCTTGATTTTCAGAGTTTCTTCACAACCTTCATTGGCGAATATTGTTCCCCATCACTGAGTTTAGTCCATCTTGATGGAAGTCAAAAACACCTATTTTAGTATTTGTTTTCTTGCACCACGGGTAATTCTTCCAATGTGCAGTGAGACCCCGGCTGCTTCCAGTATCCTGCCTTAACATTTCAGTATTTCTACACAGCCAGTGGTCTTTATCAAATATGCAGTAGTCATGGCAGCTCGCCTTCTGCTTCTTGAGAGTTACACTGTTTCCATACATAGATTATATGGGCAGCAGACATTTGTCTCCGTGCTGATCCTCAGACAGTCCATTGGGTCTGCTGCTTCCATGGATTTCTTTGGCCAGGACAATCTGTTAGGTATTATTATTTAACCAGTTTCTAGCATTTGGTAGGATTATTCTTTATTAAGTGTTTCCATTTTTAAAGTATGATAATGTAGCAAATGCTTTCTTGTTTGGAAAGCTAGAAGAGTAGAGACCTAATAGATCATGTGCTGCTCTGCCATACTGTCTTGTGCAATAACTGTGTTATATATGTAATTTCATCAAACAGATTTGTCAGATGGTCTCCACTGACAAGATTCCTTTAACTATATACTGATACACTTACCCAATCAATTATATAATTTTAGATAAGTATCATGGAAGAGGACATATATATTCTCTGACAGATATCACCACATGGTCTCTGGCATTTTAAAAGCATTAAAACTGTGTAATATTCAGGTTCTGCTAATTTTAAATAGTGATATCGGTTACACTGTTTCCATACATAGTATGTGAAAATTCAAAAAGTTTGATGCAATGATTCCTGAAACTAAGAGAAAACATTAATTGCCTTTGGCAGTCTCTGTATTTGATGAACTGCGGTAACTTCGACACCCCCTGTTTCAAGGGAAAAGATACTAAAGAAGAAATTGATGCTAGGTGTGCTGTGTTACTGCTTTGTATAAATTCTTCCAAAGATAGAAACATACCCCAAAAGTTATGAATTAATATGTTGTGTTGCTGTCCTGAATAATAATCCACTCAAGAAAATGAAAAAGGGACACTAAATAAAGTGAACTACTGATTATAGGTCATGCTATGGAATTAACTGTACATACTATCTGCATAATTGCTTAGTAGAATTTGCAAGATCTGTTGGATGCAGCCAGAAAATTTGAATGTCTTTGTTATATAGCAATAAAAATATATAAGCTAACATGGTATGCTTAGTATGCATTAGTTAAGTGGCAGCATTCAAGGAGTCTGTGGGCAGTTCGTGAATATCATTCTGAACATTTTTCCTTCCAAAACTTATTTGAACACTATTAAAAGGAGCTTTATAACATAGTTCCCAGTTTACAAAACAACCAATGTGTGTACTTTAATTGGTGGGGGAAACAGATGAAATGTACTAAAACCTAATGTATTAAAAATTATTTTTCTCCTATCTTTAAACATTTCAAATGGTTTATTTGATAAGACTGTGTGTTTTCACTCCTGGATCATGCTTTAGAAATAAATTTTGGGGCATGTTTTCAGAAAATACCAAAAACAAATGAATCTTCTCGCCAGCATGAAAGCCATCCTGAAGAAACAGAAGAGGAATTACGAGAACACCAGGCATTTTTGGAAGACGCGTATATTGATAGAATATCAAACCAAAAGGATTTCCAAGGGCTGGCCAATATGGTCCAGGTAAAGCAAGAACCCCTTGAAAATGATGAAGATGGAGAGATGCCACAAGAACTAGAACCAGGGCAGAAGCAGACTGAGCAAGAGTTGCTATTCAGACAGGTAAAGTTGAATGCATTAAAACTGAAGCATACCTTTATTGCTTATTGAATGTTGTTGGCAGATTTTATATTAATTGATAATTCTAAATCAGAGGCCCCCAACCTTTTTGAGCCTGCAGGCACCTTTGGACTTCTGAAGCAGTGTGGTGGGCGTAGCCACAAAATGGCTGCTGCACAACGACTGCCACAAGACACAGAGCCAGCATACAACGGCTGCAGTAGGAGGCAGATCCAGCCACGAAATGTCTGCTACAGCTTACCTTCGGTCCCACAGTGAAAATCTTTGTGCTGTGGTGACAACTGCTGCTGAAGCAACATTTTAAAAATCTGCACAGCCAATTAAATCTCTAGTGTCCAATCAGAATCCTTGCTGGGCAAAAGACCCAACTGGCCCACTTTCTAAAAACATTTGGTGGGTACCAGGAAAGTTGCTGGGGGACACCACAAGGGGGGGGGTCCCCTGTTTTAATTAGAGACAGAATAATAAAAGTGACATGTCACTGGATTAATATTTGATACCAAATACTGACTGCTGCATTACTATATATCTGACAGACGTTCTGGAACTAGCTTGTATTATGCCATCTCCACAGAAGGATGGATAGTTTCCTATCGCAAGAACGATATGTAAAAAGAGTCCTCCAGGGTCAGACCAATGGTCAGTACAGTCCAACATTCTGTTCCCCATAGTGGTTGACCAGATGCACCAGAAGGGACACAAAGAATAAAGCCACGTGAGGTCCCATTCACCCACCATGGCTAACAGCAGTCAATTTTTTCAACAATTTCCACAAAATCAAATAAATACATTTAAATTTAAAGCCATCTAAACTAGTGGCACTTAATTCCTGTAGCAGTAAATTCCACTACTAAACTATATGCTGTGTGAAGAAGTATTTTCTGTGTCCTGAATCTATTGCCAAACAGTTTCACCGGATGCCCCCCAAACCTTAACATAAACAAGAAGCTTCTAGTTTAGCATAAATTTGGAGAAGGAAGAATTATGGGAACAGCCACATCAGCAGGACTTGTAACCTGTGTTCAGGTTTGATATGCATGTCTTCAACCAAACGTCTGGCGGAATATCTCTGCTTTACATGCGCTGTGGAAAGGTAACAGATCCTGCAGGTCACGGATGTTATCCGGCAGAGAGGTCTACCAGGTAGGGTCCAGGGCAGAATAAGTCCTGGCCCTGGTTGAGGACAGCCAAAGGTTCTTATCTCCTGAGCGTAAAGCTCTTCTGGGGGTATTCTGGGAGCAGTGTTCCCTCTAAGCTAAGTTAGTGTGCGCTATCTCACATTTTTTAGCCTCCGGCTCACACATTTTTGTCTTAGCTCAGGAAGGATGGTTCCAGGGCAAACTAATCTATGCAGTAGCCAAATCATTTTCTCACAACTTTAATGCCAGTAATTCGCAAAGTATAATTTTTGCTCACAAGGCTCCACAGCTTAGAGGGAGCATTGACTGGGAGAGGTGGTCCCAAAGGTATGTGGGTCCCAGACCGTTAAGGGCCTTAAAGGTCAAAACCTTGAACCGGAAGCCAGTGCAGCTTGCGCAGCATAGGTCTAATGTGCGCATGCAGGGGGTCCTGGTAAGGACACATGTGGCCGCGTTCTGGATCAGTTAGAGCTTCCAGATCAGTCTCAAGGGTAGGCCCATGTACAGCAAGTTACAGTAGTCTATTCTGGAGGTGACCGTTGCATGGATTACTGTGGCTAGGTCGAAGCAAGACAGGGAGCTAGTTGCCTGACCTGATGATGCTGGGTATGCATGTGATAGAGAAGCAATGTTTTTTTGTTTTGTGCTTCTGAGCATCTTTATCATGTCTGAAACAGAGGAATGAGTATTTTTATTTATTTGTTCCTATATGGGGAGATGTGATAGCTTTGTTTTACATAAAAATGCAGGAAGAAGGCAAATGGTGCCTTTCCCTTCATATGCCAAAGCTGCTCATAGCTTGCAGTTATTGTCTCTGAAACTGTTAGCCTCTATGAAACACTGCAGCTAGCACCCAAGGTTTATTCCTTTCTCTGGATAATGCATGGGAGAAACGTTTTTAACAAAAGTTGCATGATTTGTGTGAGCCATCAACCTGGATAATTTGTTTGCCCGTTGAGGCAAGCCATCTTGTGAATATGAATCATGCCATGCTATAGGTCAGAGCCAGTGATGCATGAGTGAGTGGAAAGGAAAATGTACTTAGCACGGTTCCACTTGCCGAAGCAATAGCACAAGGGCAGAAGTAACACTTCAGTATAATTTTTAATGAAATAATGTGTATAGGGAATGTCGAAGAGCCATTTTGCGTGATCTTATTTAAATTGCTTTTGTAAATTTGGCAGAAGACCTTGTGCTGTGTCTTGCACACATGGAAAAATAGAAACCAGTTTCACTTAGAGCAAGCAGAACGTGAAGAGCAAGTTTAGTGCTTCCACTTGCACATGTGGTATTCTTCCATGGGATTCAATCCTATGAACCATTCTAGTAGATATTTAAATTTTCCCTCATGGCTAGAAGGTTTCTTGAGGTGGTGTGCAAAGGTAATAATCAGTACACATATAGACAGCCAGTAAAGTAATGGTGTTTATAGTGGTAACTACTTTGAATGTCCTCATTTTTAAAACTGGTACTAAAGGAGAAAACTATTTACTTTCAGATTGTCATTTCTTAGGAGATCCTTTCAGATCCAAAGCCATCTTTAATCACAGTTTGCAACATGGGACTAATATTTAATTTTTTCATGATTTTTTTCCTGGATCTGCCTATCTATATCTTCTTTCTCCCTCTTTCATCAATATTTCTCCTTCCCTCCTCTCTCTCCCTCTCCAAAAATGCTGGTAGCTTGTGATCCACCTAAGTAAGACTGGTTTTAGGATATTTATGTTTAGATAACCTTGACCTAGAAATTGCAGTTTAAAATTCAATGGCCCTTTATCGTAAACATGCCGAAACTACATAGTTTGTGAGCCAGAGCAGAAATCAGGATCAGGTAAGGTAGCAAATGCCAGTTCTGTGTCCATAATTGGTACATATATGGATTATGTTTGCACATTATAAGCATTCTGAGTCATAAGAGTTTTACATCATCAAGATGGCTGAAGAACATTCTTTAAAATGTATGCTATAGTATCTATATGGCTGATTTTAATTTTGAAAATGTAAAAGTCAATTAAATCTGCAGATACATTTTACTGATTATTGCATTAGCCATAACTCTTTTCACAGTATTAACTGTAGAGGGACAAGTCCATTATTTCCCCATTTTTACTCATCTCATGAGTTCTGCAGACCTCAGTATTGTCATCAATGTAATTGAACATCTTTTTAAGATATTAAGTTTTGGAATGGGTTGTCATCAACATGCTGATGACACCCAGGTATATTAATTAAGCCTCAGGACTCAGTATTCTCTGTGTTAGGACAACATCTGGAGATTGTGATTGAGGAAGAAAATACTGAAGCTTAATCCTGATAAGACAGAGGTGATGCTGATTAGAAAGGGTAAGATTATGGAAGGAGTTATGTTTACCCCGTTGGATGGTATGTCATTAACTCGTTTAAGAGCTTGGGAATTCTCTTGTATCTTCTGTTGGATTTACCCCCGTTGGATGGTATGTCGTTAACTCTCGTTTAAGAGTTTGGGAATTCTCTTGTATCTTCTGTTGGAAAAACAAATCAACCAGGAGGCAAAAGGTGCCCCTTTTTCAACTTCATACGGCATGGAAATCGTCCCCCTTTTTAGACATCTCCACCGTAGCCATGGTTATCAGTGCTACAGTATCCTCACAACTTGGCTTCTGTAATGTGGGGCTGCCCTTGAAGACAGTGCTGAAACTACAGAATGTAGTTTCTCCAAGGAGCTCTGGATGGCATAAACAGTTCTCCTGTTTTTGGGCTAGGAAATTGATTCTAGGATGTTGTAGCCATCATGCTTATCTTTACAATGTTTCCTGAGTCCAGGCCTGGGTAAAATGCTTGATTCTGGATGTCATTCACATCTGCAGTGCAGCTCTGAGAATATCATCCGTAAGACTTCAAATGAAATAGCTTGCTTTTCGGGATACAGAAGCACTGTCATTAGTACCTGCAGCACTCTAGGAAACTGATTTTATGATGGATTAATAATCTTCTTGTGGAATCTTCTGCCATGTCAGCACCATAGAAGTTCTTGAACTCAGTGAGTGGAGGTCAGATCAGTTATACATTTCACTGGAGACCTGAGCCCATTTGAAGCCCTTATGAACTGAAATATATAGTAATAGGACTGAAGTTTTGCAGTGTGCAAGGCTTCGGCTATACTTTTTACCAGATTTAAGATTACTTGAGAACACCAGAAATCAGAAACAATCAACAATACCTTCTACAGCTTGAAGATTTGAGGGGTCACATATCTTGGATTTGTCGCTTCAGTGCAGCAGTGGATAATACAGTCCATACAAAGTCCCGTATGTATCTTTCATGTGGTGGATCCCTTGCCAACACAGTTGTTTATTTCACTTGTGAAAGTATTTCAATTGCTGTTATTCTCTTACTACTAATACTACTATAGTCTGTCGCTTTTGCCAGAATTTTAAAAAAAAGTTGTTTCAGCCATTTTGACAGAAAACAGCAGTTATCATGTGAAAACATAATCCATATGCCGACATGTTTTAGAAGAACAAAATGAGATTTTGCTACCTTACATGATAACGTGAATCTTCGGCTCTTGGCCCACAGACTAACATGTACAATTTTCCTTCTGACTTTCAGGCATAAGAAATCCAATGGTAATTACAGCTTGGGTGCTTTAAAGCAGAGACTCTCAAAGTTTTTTGCCAACCTCCTCTTTAACACAGGTTGGTGTATGAGGTAATCAATTTAACTATCATTTGAAAAAAAAGATTCCCCCTTCTCAGGCAAAAATATTAAGAGGCTGTTATGAATTGTATTTTAAAGTTTTTAATTTTTTTGTCATTAGGAACACGACTAAAAGGCTTAAATTTTAGCTTTAACAGTGATAAACTTTAAATTTTTGCTTGAAGATATATTGGCTAGTGTTGCTGAGATTCAGTGAAGTCATTGTGAATGCATTCATTATCACAAAGTCAGTTCAAACCCAAATGTATCGAATTCGTTGAACCGTTCTTACAATGATAACACAATCCATCCTCCTTAACAGCAAGCGCTTTTACTGGAGCAGCAACGCATTCACCAGCTGAGAAATTACCAGGCATCCATGGAAGCTGCTGGTATCCCCGTGTCCTTTGGAGGGCATCGGCCCCTTTCTCGCGCCCAGTCCTCACCTGCTTCTGCAAACTTTCCCATATCAGTACAGGAGCCACCCTGCAAACCACAGTTCACAACAGGTACTGTTGAAAGTTATTTTCACAGTATTAAATGTCTCTGTAAGTCCAGCTGGTTACATTTTTTAACAGCACAATCCTGTGGTCTTGTTACTCTGGTGTAATTGATCCCAGTATGATGACAGTGTAGCCTTAGATCATACCTTGTGCTCTCCTGGCAGAGAAAAAACAGGAAAAAAACGTTTTACTTTAGGGGACTGAGAACTTAGCAACAGCAATACTGTCTGTAGCGATACAGCTGACTGACACTTTCGTGTTTCAGAAAGGCAAGCCAGCAATGGCCCGTGTCAGCCATATATGGAAAGAGCCAGTCCTCCCAGCGCTGTCCATCTCTGTGGTTCCATCATGTCACTCACAAACCCGCATGCAGTGCAACACCCTCAGTTGTTTGAAGGGCTGTCCACTAACTGCCATACTCCAGGGATCCCTGCACGTGCAGGTTTAAGCCTCCTTATATCGCCTAGATTGCTAAGGGCAATTCTGGTAGGCAAACACAACACATCATACAGTCACCTCTACATCTCAGGAGACAGAGAGAGTCTCTCCCAAGCAAGGATTCATGTCCCACTTTGAGAACAAGAATCTGGAAGGAAAAGGAGCTTTTCGCGAAGCAAGGGGATCGGAGACACTAGAATAAGTAACAAAGAGAAGACACCAACTGCATATTCTCCTAAAGCATTCCTGCCATCTCTTGCATAGCTCACTGAGAAAAAAAGAGGGCCGTAGTTGTTAAAGAGTTGTAGTCTTACCAGTGGGCAAAGTTGGAATAAGGCAAAACTCACCCTTTGGTGCTGAAGGTAGGACTGGAATTCACTTAAGCGCTTTAATAGAGCATCCCACGAGTCGTGCAGCCAAGAGTATGCCTAAAAAAAAGCCACTGCCAAATCGGCCTTTTACCATCTTTGGCTGGTGCGGCAGTTGGTTCCCTTCCTCGACCGTGATGACCTGGCTACAGTGATCCATGCGATGGTCACCACTCCTTCACTGCTTGCCCATGTAGGATGCATTATGCTTTCAGATCCAGTTGGAGGACTAGAGTAGAGGGTCCCATTGGGGGGGGGGTGTGTTTAGATTACTTGTAAAGGCTCTGAAAAGACATGAGATGTCAGAAGGATCTTGCAGGTCATCTAGTCCAACCCCCTGTTCATTGCAATGGGCAATCATGTAATCCCCAACAGAAGGCCATTCATCCTCTTCTTAAACATGTATTGTGAATCAGGGACAGCCACCTTTCTATGCTCTTTCTGTGTTATTGATGTGGGCTTGTGCAGAATGCTTTCTTCTTATACACCATATCTTTACTACAAAATTCCTATCACCAGAGTTCACAGTTTTGTGTCCTGTGTTTACACAGTATAAGGCCAGAGAGACGTAGCCCCATGGCACACAAACAGTCATCTGAGATAAGAGTTTTACCATGCGTGGGTGTGAAGACTCACGTATCTTAGACAAGTGTCTGTGTGAATGAGTCCCACTTTCTAGTCTGGTCAAAATTGACTCTCGGGAAGCCAAACTGTAAAGAAGAAAGGAGCCTCCCTCCCATCTCCTAACATTCCTTATGCTAATAGGACGTTTTTGCTTCGGTTTTAACAAGATATGCTGTGAACTTCACGTATGAACACAGATGAGCCAGTCGCCCAATTTGTTCAGCTTCCTATGAAGAATTGAAATGGGTGTCGAACAGAAGTTGCTTCCCAAACTTTTTCACTGAGTCCCTCCCTTGAGAGACGAAAGGAAATGTTTGGTGATCAAAAGCTGACTCTCAGCTGATATCAGCTGCGGTTCTGCCCTGACCTGGATAGCCCAGGCTAGCCTGATCTCATCAGAGCTCAGAAGCTAAGCAAGGTCGGCCTTGGTCAGTACTTGGAAGGACGACCTCCATTGAATACCAGGGTCATGACGCAGAGGCAGACAGTGGCAGACCACCTCTGAAACGTCTCTTGCCTTAAAAACAAATCTACCTCACCACCTAGTGGTGCATAATGCTAAAAGAGCTAACGTTGAAAGAGCTAGAACTTCTTAGGATCTCCTGGCTATGCTACACACAATGTCATACGCCTTGCATCTTTATGTTGGCATGGAATGTTCTTTTCTTTAGTTTAAATATTTGAAATGTGGGATGCACCAGCTTTTAAAAACCTGCCCATTCATTCTTTAAGAGACTAAATTTTTAGAAGGTTGGGTTTTGGTTTGATTTTGCAGTTTAGGCAATGCATGCAGTTGAATTAAAAAGTTTCCGATTCAAACAACATTTGTCCATGCTTGTAATAATTGTATAATTGGATCTTTTATTTTCTAATGCAGGCCTTGTATATGATACCTTGATGCTGAAGCACCAGTGTACCTGTGGAAACACAAACAGTCACCCAGAGCACGCTGGGAGAATCCAGAGCATCTGGTCACGGCTTCAGGAAACAGGTCTAAATAATTGTATAATTGGATCTTTTATTTTCTAATGCAGGCCTTGTATATGATACCTTGATGCTGAAGCACCAGTGTACCTGTGGAAACACAAACAGTCACCCAGAGCACGCAGGGAGAATCCAGAGCATCTGGTCACGGCTTCAGGAAACAGGTCTTCGTAGCAAGTGTGAGGTAATGGATGGCCTGATAGAAAGGGGGAGAGGGTTGAAAGGTCTTGTGATTTAGA